TTTCCAGGTCATCTTCATGAGCCCACTCTGTCCCTGATAATTCTCAGTTGCTTATGGAAGCTGATTCTTTGGATCTCCCATTTGTGTATTGTGCTAGTCTAATTAGTCAGAGCAATGAAACAGTGGTGTGTTAGATGTTTTTTAGTTTCTGTTTTAAAAAATTCTGACACACTTTTTTAAACAGCCAAGATGTATAAAAATGTTTTGGGTGTTTAAAGGAAAAAACTTTTACTTTATAATTTATTGTCTTTAGTTCAGAGCATAAAGTTACATGACGATATGGCAGTTTCCCTTTTGATGGACAGTATAGATATCCAAGTTGGATTCACAAATTGCAAATTCTCATTTGATCTTGAATTATCTTGCTGAACCCATAAGCTAAATACAAACATGTAAGAAATGTCATGCTAGGTTAAATCAGTTGTTCATGGAGCACTGGTAGTTTATAGAAAAACAATATATATTCTTTACACAACATTGATCTGTCTTGAACATTCATTAATATTACCTTAGTAATAATATTAATTTTCTCCAAATCAATTTTCTAAAAGATCTTCTTGATTTCATTTATTTTCAGTCAGTATTTTCTCTTTGGTAATGAGTTTATTATCCCTTGTATATACTTCACTTCTATACTGATATTGCCCAATGACTGTATAAACTTTGATTTTCAAAATATCTACTAGAGTGCACTATGATTTGAAATACATGCTTAACTCGTCTGTTTTTTTCTTTTATCTTATTTTTACCTTTCCAGTTCAGAAGGATTTGAATTGCCAGCTGATTTTGTGTGGACAATTTTTGGCTTCTTCATTTGTAAATTTCTACTCAGTCTGCCATGATGGAGAGCAATAAGAAATATTTACATATTCCTAAAGAGGGTCATTTTGTTTATGTTTATTATTCCTTGAATGCCATGTCACTATGATGAACACTTTATTGTACAGCAGCACATGAAGTAATTGTCTTGAGATAAAGTGTCAAATGTCCTTTTGCTTGTTCTTAGTACTCTTTATACTAATAAACACCCCAGACTAAAATACTGATAGTATTGTCCACACTACTACAGCTTACAGGGTAAGGGTAATATATTAGGTTATCAGTACTGAATAAATATTCATACTGACAGTTCTTGGGGATTAATGGACTTTTAATTTTCTTTGAGTTGTTAATACATTAACTTCTCTTTGTTAGTTTGTGTCAAATATTCATTTTATAGCTCTCTTTAGTCATTCTAGCAGAATAATTCCTGAGGTGTTGGCAAATGTATTGTACTGGTGAAGTTTTTATTTCCAAAAAGACAAAGTGTATTTTGGTAATGTAGTTGTCTCAAAACATTTTTTTTCCTATTTTTACCTTTGTGGCTTCAAAAATTCAGTCTTAAATACTTGTAGGAAATCTTAGTTGATAATTGCAAGTTGATACATTTGAAAACAATTGTTTTTAACACCTTTAGTATAACTTGTGCAGATATATATGTCTGCTATGCTTTGCTCCTTAAGGTCATCATCTCTAAAGTGCTTTGTTTAAACCAGATGAATATGTAACTTTTACTTGGACTGTAAAATGAATTTGAGAACCAATAAATCTGAATTATTGGATCTTTTCATCAGTAGCAGAATCTTTTCCAAATTACAGAAGCCAATTATGGTGACACACACCTATGATTCCAGCAGTTGAGGAGCTGAAACAGCATTGCTGCTAAATCAATACCAGCGTATGCTGTACAGTGAGTTCAAGACTAGTCTGAACTACATAGTGAAACCTTGCCTCAACAAACAAAACAAAACAAAACAAAACAAAACACAACAAAGCAAAGCAAAACACTCAACAAATAAACAAACAATGCAACATGAACTACACTAGTGTGATAAATTAAATATTTCCAGCATTGAGGAGTATATAATATACCAAAGCTAACCATAGCCTTCAGAAGCCAACTGTGGACTTCAGAGATGTTACTTTTTCTAATCCTAGAAATCATAATTGATTGTTCATGTATGGCATATTCACTATATCTATGAAATATTCCAGGAAAAATTATATGTAGAGGTTTAAAAACTAGCATAGCATTATCTACAATTAAATATAAATGACTATAAGAAGAAGTAAAGTGCTATAGGAACAATGTGATTACCTCCTGTAGTTTTCTCTCCTTATAACAAGGAAGACTTGGCTTTATATGTGAAGATACCTCTTCTCCTCTTCCTGGAGTAAATGTGGCATAGAACGTAGGTCTTTAAGAGTCTGTACCTGGTTTAGTGCATTATTTGTGGGAGGAAAAAAGCTTACCCTCTTTGAATTGACCAAGAAAAAGCCAGAAAAAAATTGACACTTGGTTAAAAAGAGTAGAACCAGAACATGAAAGACCTTCCGTTCTTGACTAGAGACCTTATTTCCCTTCCTAAGTTTAGCAGAATACACTGAAGAGTACTTGAATCTTGCTGCTGTGGCTTGAGTCCTTCAGCCTGACATGGCACCTTACCATAGTACAGTGATGAAATCACAAGACAGATAAAAGGGCCACAGAAGCAGGTCTCGGCTCTGCAGATGACATGAACAGAAAGCTTTGCACAAGTGTGAAAAGCTACACTGTCACTTGTCTTTCTCTTCTGAAGAGGCCAGGATACATCTTGTTTAGCCATCTGTTCCCAGAGGAATGTGATCTAACTTGCACTTTTCACACAGTAACAGTCAACACTGTAGACCTGTTGGAAAGGTGCTGGCATCCCGGGAGGAATTTGGATAAGTGTTTTTCACTCCAGTGTTTTCATATGACCTGACTCTCCTCAATTTAGTTACAATTTGGCCTCCGAAGGGCAGCCATGGCATGCCTCTCTCATTTAGCTTACCTTGTTTTATGGTGTCCCTCCTCCACCTCTCCCTCTCCCCTGGCAGACTCTTCCCTGTTTCCCTTGCAGTCTACTAACAGAGCTTCCCTCTAGATCTCTGTATGATGTTTGCACTCTGATTTCCTTGGTGTGGACTTTACTTCCAGACAGAGGAATATATTTGAGGTCCTGAAAAAATATGCAAAGATATCCACTGGAAAGCAGCCTAAGCAGTTCCTCATGTCTTCAACCGGAGTGACTGATTATTCATATATCTGACAGCTTCATTAAGACCTCCCTTGTAGGCAGCAGAGGCAATAATAGCCCCCCCATTTCTCTAGCTCCACTTCCCACCCCCTGTATTAAACGGCTAATTTTTATGCATGAAATAATAGACAAGCCATGGGTGACCTGTTTTTTTTTTTTTTCTTTCTTTCTTTTTCCGTCCCTTCCCCCCTTTTTCCCTTGCGGTAAAATAGTGCTGAAGAAAGAGGGCACTAGTGTACAGCCCAGATTGCATCCTTGCACCGACTGGATTGGAGCTGAGGCGTCTGCGAACCGAGGGTGGCCACGGTCCTCTGACCCAGGAACCACAGCTCTCTGTACCCCGACCTAGGTAAGTCCACATTCTTCAGACAGGTGAGCGGCCACCTAACCAGAAACGCAGACTCAGCCCTAATCTGTTGGATGTCTTCTGGATTTCAGGCACTCCTTCCCTTATTTCTTTTAGTTCTGCATGCTTGGGAAGCAGCAGGGCGGTGGGTGTCTGGGTTGCTTGCTCCTTTTGCCCGCTTCCCCTCCTGTGCTCTCACTCCCTGCCCGCTCCCCTAGCCCTTTTCTCTGACTCTCACCTTGAGAAAGGAATCCAGGGAGGGATGCGAGAGGGAGCCAACTTCAGCCTCGCAGGCTGCTGAGGTTTGGCGCCTCTCCCCGCCCCCCATGCCAGGCAGTTGGGTTTGAATACCGACCTGCAGAAGCGCTGCGAGGGGAACAGGATGACGGTGGAGAGGTGGTGGGGAGCGAGGGAAGGGGTGTGTGTGCGTGCGTGTGTGTGCGGGGGGGGTGCGTGTGCATGTGTGTGCGTCTCGGTAAAGAACACGGAGGAGGGAGTGAAAGAGGAAAGGGGATCACAGAAGAGCAATTCGCGGTCAAAGCAACCCTGGCAGGCCCTGCTGGAGACCCGGTCTACTGCTGGACACGCTGTCCAGGGTGCTGAACGCGGGAGGGCTTGAGCTGCCCTGGCCAAATCCATCGGTTCCTTTTGCAGCAACTACGCAAAGCCCAAGGGTCCTGATCCAAAGTCAGGAGACCTTTTACCCTTTTCTCCATGTCAGAAAACTAGTTAGCTTAGCGGCACCCTTCTCCTTGAACATCTACAGTAAGCATGACTTCTTGGGAGTGGGGCGCATACTAAACCCCAATATATGGAGACTTTACCAGGCGTTGCCTTAGAAACTACTATGAATTTTCTACAAACTGACAGATTTATGTTTACTACTTGGATTGTATGTCTAGCAGGTCCCAAACCTTCTAAAAAGTGTACCTCTTGTTTGTCTTCATTTCACAGTAGCGCTCCCACCTTTGCAATGCGCCTCCAAATTTTCTTTTGGGAAAAAGTTGATCTTTTCAATTTCGGAAAGTTCTCTTAGCTTGAAGGATTTAGCTCCTCCCCTCCTCTCTTCGTCCATCCCTAGTCGTTCCAATGCACCCCTCCCCCGTCAGAAATCATGAAAAGTATCTGGGGACGGGGATGAGATTTGGGGCCGCAGGGACAGGCGAGTCGCGGGTTCTGAGCAGCCCGAGACCACGAGGGCGCTGAGGCTGCAAAAGCTCTCTCACCCACCGAGCTGTCTCTGCAGCCGGTATCTGGATGTGTTGAAATGAGCTAGGTAACAATTAGCATCACTGACCCCAGGTTTAAACACAGGTCCTCTGATCAATCGGCTTTGATTTCTCTCCCCCTTTTTTATCAGCAGCGTCCTGCACAACGCTTATTGTACCCTTGATCAATTTATCTTGTTGCGCCTGTGAAGAACGGGGACTCGATTTCCTTTAAAGACACCTTCAGGGTGTAGGGGCTGTCGTGGAGGACCAGGAGGAAGAGGTGGAGGGGAAGCGGCGGTGGTGGAGGCGGCGCTGGACGACGGACAGCGCCGGTGAGGGGCACCCAGGCGCGGGCGGGCGGGCGGGCGGAGCGGCGGTCCTCCTGGAGGTGCGCGCGGAGCCTGCAGGCGCCACCAGCGACCAGCGTGTCCACAGACTGCGACCTCACCACGATGGTCCGGCTCCTCTTGATTTTCTTCCCAGCGATCTTTTTGGAGATATCCGTCCTCCCCAGAAGCTCTGATAGGAAATCGTTGCTAGCAGGAGCCTCTTCTCAGCGCTCCGTGGCCAGAATGGACGGGGATGTCATCATTGGAGCTCTCTTCTCGGTCCATCACCAGCCTCCAGCCGAGAAGGTGCCCGAAAGGAAATGTGGGGAGATCAGGGAGCAGTATGGCATCCAGAGGGTGGAGGCCATGTTCCACACGTTGGATAAGATTAACGCGGACCCGGTCCTCCTGCCCAACATCACCCTGGGCAGTGAGATCCGGGACTCGTGCTGGCACTCATCTGTGGCTCTGGAACAGAGCATCGAGTTCATCAGGGACTCTCTGATTTCCATTCGAGATGAGAAGGACGGGCTCAATCGTTGTCTGCCTGACGGTCAGACCCTCCCCCCAGGCAGGACTAAAAAGCCCATTGCTGGTGTGATCGGCCCGGGCTCCAGCTCTGTAGCCATTCAAGTCCAGAACCTGCTCCAGTTGTTCGATATCCCTCAGATCGCCTATTCTGCCACAAGCATCGACCTGAGTGACAAAACTTTATACAAATACTTTCTGAGGGTCGTCCCCTCTGACACTTTGCAGGCCAGGGCGATGCTAGACATAGTCAAGCGTTACAATTGGACCTATGTCTCTGCAGTCCACACGGAAGGTAGGCATTATGTTTCGGTGAGAGAAATACTGAGAGCCAGGGTGTTGTATAATGTGCTCCTAGGATCATGGTTTCTTCCTGGTTTATTTCTAGCACTGTGGGGAACACGCTTACTTTTCAGTACACGCCCACCTGGTAAGTAGTGTAAGAAAACCGTATCTTGTGGTGTTTCTGGAGGTAGGAGTGTAAATAATATCAAACTCCATACAAAGTGTCCAGCTCTAGATAATTCCCTTACAGGATGGTTTGTGTGTGTCAGGTTTATGGGCAGAAGAGGGACTACAGCACCCTGCAGTGACTGGCTGTGACTTTCCGAGCTAATCTTGGCTGAGCCAGTAACAAGAAAACAAGTCTCTGGGTCCTAATTTAGACTTGAAGGCTTTGTCTTATTCTCAGTATCTGAAGGTGTTTATTTCTCTTTTGTGTCCCTTGCTACACTTCCTAAACTTCCTGGAAATGTAGGATTAATGCAACAACTTCTTTCAGGATATCTGAAACTCACATTTTCAATTCCGGGGTATCTTAAACACAAAAGAAAAGTTAAGAATTTAGACTATTTTTCTTTACTTTATATAGTGAAATCATCTAAATTTTCTTACTACCTCCAAAATAATCTTGTTTTGTGAAAAAACATAACTGAGGACTTCTTAGAGTTGAATTCTGGTTTTTAGACTATTTCTTCTACTATACGTGACTCCGCTCTTCAGAATTTAAAGTTGGACCAATTATAAATTACTAATAAAAGGATTAGTAGATGTCAAGTTTAAAATAGGTCTTTCAAATGAAACAGGTTGAACTGAGGTTAAAAGCTTTGATTTTTCCAGAGTTTTATGGATGTGAATTCTCAGAATTTGTTAAAGATTTCTTTTACTGTCTTTGCTTTAGCCCATATAAACTTTTGGGTTAAACGACTATTTTTAAGCTCACATATTCTTAACTTCCATAGTAGGTTTATATTTAAAGTGAGGTCCTACTTACAAACTGACATCTGGATTGATTCATATGTATATTTGCTGCCAGATAGAAGGGCATGTTGAGGGTACTGGTGCATTTGTATTTCTTAAAATCAAATTGTTAAAAAACACTATAGACATGACTTTATTAAAAATATTTGCACAGTACTCAATAAACTTGTGTGAGATTTGATCATAAAAATTAAGAAGCATTCTTACTGAAGTAGCTCACTGCTTTGATTTATAACGGGAACAGAGTTTTGAGAACAAAAAATGTAGAAGAGTATGTCATATTCCAGACACTGCTTTTGGTGAAAAACTTTCTGCTGCAATCTAGCAACTTTAAACACCCGATTCTTATTCTGAATCTTGATTTCAATTACAAACAGAAAACTTTTTTTTGAGCACAAATTCATTAATATTTAAGACAAAATAAAGTTCCCAAGTTAATTCTTTACATTTTAATGTTTAATGTTAATTTATATATTTTAATATTTAGTATAGTTTCTTCTTAAATGGAGCATTCTGAAAGCACAAGTTAAAAATGCCTGAAGTATCACCACTGAAATGGTATTTCTAAAAGGAAGGGCGACATCTAGATTGAATGTGCTTTATATAAATATTTAATAGTTCTTCCAATGAGCTAGGTAATTGATTATTAATATTAGAAGTATAAGACGTTTGTTCTAGAAATAATTTTATATACATTTATCATTCATGTTTTATATGAGATATTTTATTTGGGAAGAGAAAAAGACTTCCCTCTTCCAGATCTGTTTTCCAATTGGATCAGTTTTCTAGAAACAATTACTAGTAAGGTTTGCTTGCTAAGAACAGAATTACATTTGTGAAAAATATTGGACCAGTGTTTACTACTTTTGGTGAGGGGGGACTTGTACTATAATTTTACATATATATTAGTTTGGATTATATTCTGTTCTGCCTGCTGACTGGTGCATGGCCAGAGATAAGCTCTCTACCCTGTTACAGTGATTTATTGTAGACTGGGTTGTGCTCATAGAACAGACAGCACCATGGCTAACTTTGGTGTTTATTTCATTATAGGAGATTACACGATTCACTTTCCATTTGTGTGTACTATCTTGTTTCTTTTCCAAAGGAATTAATTTCTCCTTTTATTAGATGTAACATCTGTGAAAACTGAATTGCTTTTATTTTATTCTATCTGCAAATGTGTTTTGTGTAAACTCTTTGTGTAAGCTCTGCTCTCTGCTTCTCAGGGACCCACAGTGCACTAACCTACAGGCACTTTCTTGGATGACTTGGTAATTTTCCTACCATCAGTCTGATGTGGTCACCCACTGGTGACAGTTTTCTGTCAAATAACAGCTAAGACCATGTATTGATGTTGTCTCTATGGTCTAGGGTCTATTTAACATCAATCCTATTTGTCTGAACATTGGCAGTTTGGAGTTGAGAAATCCTGGACTTCCAATGACCTTCACTTCTCCTTCCCAAATTAGCTTTTCCCTAGTCAATTCATCACTAGGCCTTTCATTGGAAACTTAACCTACTATGGTTACTATCAAAATGTGTAGACTAGTGTATCTTAATATTGATTATTAATCTTGTAATTTTAAAATCACAGATGGGGCAGTTATTCTTTGAATTCCATATTGTTTTTACACTCTATTATACTTTATTTTATAATGAAGTCAGCTTTGAAGATTTTTTCCTGTTCATTTAAAACACTAGAATTTCGTTGTTAAATTTCCTTTTATTGTTTTAAATATACTATCTTATCTCCTCATTTGTACCAAATATGTCTTTTGGCCATGACAACTGTCAATTCATCTGACGTGAAAAGGAATCAGTTTATATTTAAGTTACCTGCAACTGACTCTCCAGAAATTGATCACGATTCCTTGCTGAGAGGAATGTTGGGACAGCTCTGTCAAGGGGAAGAGGGTTGTTGAAGCAATAGGTCCTTATTTACTGATAAAATCCTAATGCACTTTGGAACAAGATGTTCACCTGAAATGTGTGTCTTTAACTATGCTTAGCATAGAGTACAAAAATAGCTACTTCTGAGAAGAATATCTTGGCCAAGGACACTTTATTCCATTCTTATGATAAAATGCAGATTTCCCATCAAAAGCTAAGTTTATAATTTCAGAAGTTTGTATAAAACAGTACTTCAAATATAATTTGATTTAGCTGAATTCATATCATTGTGTGAGTACAATAAACAGTATGTTATGAGTTTGTAGCCTCAAAGAGACCTTTAAAATTGGATATATTTTCATTTGTTTTAAGCTGCTCAGATTTTGCCTTAGATAGGCAGAAGATCAGTGACATAGTAAACTTAGTGATGCTGTTTCTCATATGAAAATATCCACTTTAAGGTGACTCTTTGTTTAGTTGGGGATTCATTGTGGTACAACTTTTGGGACATTTTTCTTATATTTTATATGAAAACTGGCCTATTTATGCCTTTTTTCTAAATCTCATCTTTTTCTTTACAGAATTTTCTCCTGCTTAATATAAAACCTAATTTAAAAAATATATATTTTTACATACTTTATAAATAGGTAAATTAACCAGTTTAAAATAGTCCAATTACATATAATAATTTTGCATCTTATCTTGTCCATTGACCAGTAACCTTCTCTATAATCTTTTTTGTCTTAATTGCAACATATTGCATGGTATGATATTTAACATACTGCTTTATTTTATCTTGGAACAAGGAGTGTATTGAAAGGTTATGTAGGCCAATCATTTAAGGATGCTTAAAACACTGCTATTTGATCATTGCCCATTCTCTCTGTTTTGTAATTGTGATTAGCATTTTTTTTGAGAGTGGCCAAAAATATAATTGAATGTCTAATGAGAGTGAGAGGATTTATGAATGGAATTCAGAAGCAGGACTTCCTATAACTCTTAATCCATTCTTCTGCATGTAGGAAAGATGTCCTGAAATTTTGATCAATTCTCTATCTGTAGGCAGTCATGCAAAAACAATTCAAACTTTCTTCCCCATGATATTTATCATCAATGAATCTTTTTCCTTTCATACCATACCTCACCAGTCCTTCCTCTCATATATTGATTTTTTATCACCATCAAAAGTGACTCAGCTAGATTTTAGATAAATCAGTATCCAAAAGTCTTTAAAAAATTATGCACTATGGTTAAGTTATATATTTTTTCTTATTTTTGAGTAACTATTATTATTTTCATTATTCATAGTGTTACTTTATCTGAGTAAAAATTTGACTTTCTTCTCTTAAATGTGAAATTGTTGTCTTAAATATGCCTGACTAGTTAGTTTCAGCATTTTAATGACTTTATGTTACTATGTTAGCTTTTTGTACGCAAGATTTAATAATGTACATTGAAACTTTCTTTCTTTCTTTCTTTTTTTTTTTTTTGTACTTGGAACTGAACTCAGGGCCTCACAATTGCCATGCAGGCACTGCACCACTGAGCTAAATCCTCAGCCCTGTACATTAAAACTTGAGGAAGACACAGTCAAGTGTAAAGTCCCACCCCCTTCCCCTGCAAACAGCTTCCTGGCCACCTCCAGTGGTTATCCAGCCTTTTATGAATTTCCTTGGCAGTGTGCTTTTCTATTGCCTATCACATGCCATCTAGAACCATGTGAAAACTATAAATCCTTTAAATGAAAAGCCATTGTAATAAATATTCACCTCTACTGCAAAGATTATGTAAGAAATTTGAAGACTTAGTCTCAGATATTGTTTTCACATTAAAGCTAGTGTAGTTTGAATATATTAAAATAGGAAAAAATAAATAAAAACCAGTCATTGAAGCATAGACACTTTAAAGCATAAATTTATGCATGTTTAGGAACTTTTGGTGGAACATATTGATGTAATCATTTAACAAAAAGTTAGAGTGAGGAGAACTTTGTTAATGTTTTATTTGGAAATATACCATTTATAAAGTTAGAAACAGTACTGAAAATGATTCCATGATGGCAACCAAAACAGGTCAATTTAGCTGAAAAATCTTGGCCAGAAACTAATAATAAAGACAGAAATGACATCCAAAATTTTGTGA